AAAGGTATAGGGTATATAAAATGATAAACAACAGATATACTAAAGGTTTACTAAAGGTAAATTTAAGGTATATTACAGTTTTTCCCCCTTTCGAGGCCAATAAAATTGGGATAAACTGAAGTAAACTGAAGGTATATATTATTTAGATAAATAAACTAATTAATCGAAGGAAGTTTAGAAGTCAAACTTCCGACAATATGGACAGATGGAAAAGCAGAGGTGGGCAGAGTCAGAGAATGTCTGCGTGTGGGTGTGCGTGCGCGAGTTCGCGTGTGGGTGTGCTTGCAGGTGTGGGTGTGTTGTCTGTGTGCGTGTGCGTGTGTGTGTGTATATATTGTGTGTGTATGTGTGTGTGAATTACCTGAAGAGATGTAACATTTCTACCTGTTCTGCCGTTTCATTTCGTCTTTTTCATTAAGTATTTAGAGCAGAGGCGTCAAACCCATCATACCTACCTGACGCAACGAAACTATGGTATGGTGCATTCACCTGTACCTGCTGATCTTGGCATGGATGTCGTGGACAAAGCTTGCAAGATCCCATTTATTCCGTTCATTTGATTTTTGTCAATGGCAACCGGCTAAGCCCAGAACCACGGTACGGTCATTTTTATGGATCCTGTACGGTCATCGCTACCTGAAGCATCCATCCAGAGTGGAACATTGCCACAAGGAAGAGCCGGAAGAGCCGGGCTATACTTCAATTCTCTTTAGGTTTTCCTGTCGCTGCTGTCTTGCACGGAAGATGCAGTCCAATATCAAGTCAATAGAACTGTCTGAGCAAGTGTGTGTATGTGTGTGTGTGTGTGATTGTGTGCCCGCCACTTATCCAGTTCAACAACATCTAGTACCAGAGCACCCTAATAAAAACTGACCACATAGTCGTTTACACGACCCGTGGAGCTGAGTTTCCATCCTTGAGAAGTGAGAAATGCATAGCTGCGCTCAATACATGGATGTTTGCTTGGGTTTGGGAAGGACTTGATGCATTGAGAAACTGGCTGTCAAGATGCAAAAACCGTAGAGGAATCGCCAGAAACGACCACAGTGAAAACCCGACCGCAACAGGTGCAACTCTGGCACGAGCCCGCTATTCATCGAGACATCAGCATGCTTATCTCCGACCGTGCCGAGGCACACAGGTTGATACAAAGCACAGGGACAGCGAAAGCAAACCCGCCAAACAACCCTCGCTATTCAAGACAAATTGAATTGACGAGAATAAACTAAACATGTTACTTATGTTTCTTCCAAACAAATCATTCTTGGTTGCCTGACAGCCTTCCTTGATGAATTTCGCAGACCTGACAGTCTTCTGTGGGTTTCCAGGTTCAACAGATGTTGAGGAGGCAATTCCTCCGCTGCTGTGCAGAGTTGTTGTTTGCTTTGGATATGCAGCATGATAGACTTCATCTTTCCCAATGCTGTGCATTAGGAAGCACAACACAAGCGGCATGATTCGATTAACATGCTCAAAACCTGCAGGTTTCAGCAGCTCACTTTAGATTGGCAAGGAGAGCTCAAAAAGCTGGAGGAGTGTCCAAAGGTTGGCTTGACATTTATATGACATTTATCGGATCTTTTTAAAAAGTAGCTGGAACTTTTTGAATTCAACTATGAGGACCCGTCGCAGAACGAGTCATTCCCAGACCTCCAGACTGAACAAGATTGGGTGATGGTGCTTAGTTCAAGGGGCAGAGAGGCACTCTTTTTTTTCAGCTGTGGGCACACCAGATTGGGTGCGATGTGGATGCGATGTTGAGGTAAGCGGGTCGGTTCAAATTTCTAATTTGAAGCGATTCATTTAAACGAAACTTGCTCCTTGAGAGTACGGTTTGCTTCGAGGCCGAGAGTGTTCGTCAGCATAGTGTCAAGGCAAAGCCTTGCAGTACTGTGCACAAATCTCCACATACGACAAGAAGAAACAAGAAGAAACATGCTTTCGACCTCCTTCTACCAATCCAGTACAAAAGTACCAGTTGCAGATGTCGCAAACACCCTTTAGCCTTTTGGATCTCTGTTTGGCTGTCAGAGTGTTCTATTTTTGGGAGTTTGTTTGGGAGTCTAGGGGTGACCTGTGTATTGCTCGAAAGTAATCTGTGTATTGCTCGAAAGTAATCCCTGTCATTAAAAGGAGTCGCTTCATTGTCAAAGCTGATCATGAGATTCGCACTTCTACAATGCCTCGCATCAAAGTGATGAATATCCATTTTCCCTGATCAAGTCCCTGATACATCTTTTTGGCATGTTCTGTTGATTTTGGCAATTAGATTTGAAGATTTGATTGAGAAATGGCTTGAGAAATGAAGGATGGCCGCTTTCTCATGGAGCATGTGAGGGAGCTGCAGCAGCGGCAGGGTTCTCGGCCGGAGGCATTCAAACCGAGTTCTCAGTCCAATCCTTTGAATTTGGGGGGATGGGCTTAAAAGCGTATGACACTTTTTGCCAAGAACCAATTTGAATATGTGAAGCCAAGGATTTCTGAGATAGATGTGAAGGTGGAGCTTCTCAACGAAAGGCTTATGGAGTTTCTTTTTACATGCGCCAGCAACGTCTAAATATTCTAACTGTTGCACGCCACTTGTTTGAGCAGGCTTCACCGCCCAGAGTCTGCACGAGTAGTTGCACTGTCGCTTTTCTACTGGACGCCTCACAATGTGGCCGTCTTCCCAGCATGTGTGGAACATGTTTGCTTGACGATCTTTGACGTGAGATTTGTTCTTGAAAAGATGTGAAAAGCGAAGACGTATGAAGAAAAATGAAGACATTGAAAGGATTTGAAAGGGTTGCGATTTGTTCAAAGTTGTTGGCATGGTCCAAAGGCATCACCCGGCGCCAGTGATTTCTTGCGCTGGCTGACACAAGCTACGAAGGCAGGTGCAAGACACAACAGACACAACACATCACAACACATAGTAGACATTTATAGACATTCAGACAATTTCAGACAGATATCCATTCATCGCAGAATTCATCCAAATTCAGAGATTGTGGTGGAGAATTGCTCAAATCTCTTGTCAGGTTGAGCTGCCGAAGCCTGTCGTTATCTCCTCAGATGTTGCCTGAAGACATGAAGCCAGATTTTTCCCGAGTCAGCATCAAGTCTATCCGGACATAAATCAATCCGGCACTGAGTCTTGAATGCTTGTTGATACCCGAAACTGTGCTGTGCGGGTTCCTAATGGTGCCTATATGTTATATTATATGTTCCTATCTCATTCTTCATTCATTCTCTATACTTGTCCAGGAAAATCAAAGCAAACCGGAGGCTCGGTGATTCCAAAACCTGTCATGTGGGCAGAAGTGCGATCATTCGATGGGCAGGTCGCAGAGAAGCTTCGCAAGCAAGTACAGCATTTGCAAGAACTTGTGAAGGAGATGTAACTCAAACTGAGTTTAGTATGTTGAGTGTGCGTTTGCATCAAGATTTGTGGCACTCGTTTGTTGATGTTTGTTGAATGTTCGTGAGCGCTCAAGTGTTCTTCTGCGACACTCCAACCTGCTGCCAACTTTGTGACCTGATGTGCTACCTCTAATAATAGTGATTGGGCTTTCGTACTAAATCCAGCCATGAGTCTTCATCGTCATGGAAAATATATTATCTTGTTTCGAAGTTGCTGGAGTTGCTTCAAAAAGACCTTGTGACTGTGAAGGCATCTTTTTGGAAATTTCAAACCGGTATATTTCATTTAATGTTGTGAGATCCCAGTACGGTCATTTGGTACACGTACATCTAGGCTTACATCTGAACTGATATAATCTTACATAAATAAATATATATATATACACACTGTATGTATGTCTGTGTATGTATATATATATACGTATATATATATATACATATATATGGTCACCCCCATGATCTACCTAGAAGCATTTTATATGGGAATTACCATGCTTTTTTGCATATAAAGCACAACCGGAAAAACAATAACTCACAGAAGGGCGCTCATGGGGGGCAGGTTTCTGCACTTGGATGTTTCAATATATTTGGGTTGTAATTATAATATCTAATGCATTATTGTTCAATGGCAATGACTGATTTAAAACTTTTGTCTGACCACTTCACCCCCTGGTCTGCTTCACCCTATCATCTGCTTCACCCTTTCATGCAGCCAATAATGCCTACAATGACAACCATACTTGTCTTGGGCCGCATCGAGAAAAGCAAACAACACCTGGAAAACTAAAAAAAAACTTAAGCAAAACAAAAAACACTTTTGAGAGAATGTTTGGTCTTGACTCAAAAGATTGTTTTTTTTGTTTTCCCTAGTTTTTTTGGTTTTGAAATGGAAAAAACAAAAAACACATTGCGTTTTGTTTTTTGAAGGGTTACGATCAATCAAGGTGTCAAAAAAAATCAACCTAGGGAAACCAAAAAATCCTTTGAGTCAAAAACAAACATTCTCTCAAAAGTATTGCTTTTTGGTTTTGCTCGAGTTCTTTGTTTTTTTTGTTTGTCTATTGATTCACATGATTGCCATTTGTGTCCTTATGCTTGCTTACCTTATCGGTCCTGGGAAGTCAAACTTTGACCAAAGTTTCTCACTCAAGAGCTTAAGCACTATGTGAGACTAAGCTTGGCATAGGATGCGCTGTGATGTTTATGCGCTTGAAAATTAGCTGTTGCAACGCTTTCCTGCTCTGTCTCTAGCAACTTCTGTGCAAATCTTGGAATCTTGGAACCTTGGATTCGTACATACACATTCCTGTCTAGGTTTGACATATTCAAACAAAGTATATAAGTACCTGGAAACTGACACTTTTGGATACTTTGGTGGGAATGGTGCGGTATTTCTTTGAGAACATGTACATTGCTTTGTCACAGAATGCTTTAATAGATGCTGCAGGACTTTGAAAGAATCTTACCTGTAAAGAAAGTCCTTCATTGGATGCAGTATTTGATTCAAAGAGTACCGGACACATTGCGTAAAATAGTTGAGGCCAGTGGGGCATGTCGCAAAAGAATGTAGTGTTTCTGTGTAGTAGAATGCATCAATAGATGCAGTAGTAGTACTTTGAAAGAGTCTTACCTGTGAAGAAAGTCCTTAAATGGATGCAGTACTCTTTTGAAAGAGTATCAGACATATTGCATAAAATGGTGGAGCATTTGTTTAAAGCTTGTATTATTTCGTTCAAAGGATAGATGTAGTAGTACTTTGAACAAGTTTTGCCTTGAAAGAAAGTCTTTGAATGGACGCAGCACTCTTTTGATGTGTGTTGTATTCTTAAGCACATGTAGTAGCGCAGCATCACTCTTGCATTGTTATTTGATTACGAAAAGTATGAGAAAATGGAACATTGCTTTAAACTAGCATACTTTGTAAGACTCTTTCATGGGTGCAGAAAATGCCAACAAACGTGTCAGGTCCCTTTGAAAAAGCACATAATTACTTAATTAAGAAAGCTCTCTTAGTCTATGCAGTATTCATTGAAAATAGTATACAATATATTTACTGTAGAAAAGAGTTGTAGTGTAGCATTACTTTTTGGCATATAATGCGCAGATTGGTTCATCACCCAGAAATTTACTGAAAACCGTGGGACAGCTACTACTTGAAAATAGAAGAAGCAGACAAGTTTGAGCATAGACTTTGAAGTTTTTTCAAAGCAAAATCCTCCAATGTATGCCTTGCGCAGCGATATTTTTCAAAAATTACATTCATTGGATAAAGTGGCATCATTTTGTACATTCCCCTTATATAAAGGAGTTGCAGCACTTCTTTGAACGGAATATAAGGTTATTTTAAAAGAGACTTACAGCTTTAAAGAGGTAAAGGAATCTATGCAAGGAGGACAGCATGATTTCAGAATGGAATCCTTTGAGTATCTATGTTAGATCATTATGGTATTGAGAAAAGAAAGTGTTGGTGCAAGTATGGGCAAAGCTTCCTTCACGAGGGGGGTGAACCATTTGATTGAAAAGCATGCAATATTACAAAGAAACATTACTATGAAGTAGAGCCCTTGGGTGTATGTATATAGTATGGTTGAAAGAAACAGGTCATGGTTGTATGTATGCAATATGCTAAAGGTATATTACAAGTATATTAAAGTATTAATACCGGTATATTCAGGTATACGCATGTTATATGAGACGGTATATTAAAGGTATATTAAATGGTATTGTCAAGTCATGTATTGTCAAGGTGTATTAGATTGATTTTCAAAGATATATGGAAGGTATATTAATAATAAAACCATGTTTTCATGGTCAATGACGTGGTATATTGAAGGGATATTGGGAAAAAAACAAAGGTATATCCATGGTATATTAAATGATACACTCAAGGTATATGACATGGTCTATCTATCAACAGTATTTCAACAGGAATATGAAAAGATATTAAAGATATATTAAAGGTATGTTAAAGGTATGTTAAAGGTATGTTAAAGGTATATTCAAAATATATACAAGGTATTCTCATGTTTTGTTAAATGGTATACTTATACTCAAGGTATATTAACTGGCAAATTAGCTGGTATATTAAAGGTATATGCATTGAAGGTGTCGTCAAGGCATACTAAAGTTATTTTCAAGGTCAAGTGAATGGTATATCAAAGGTAGATTCTAGGTACATCAAATGATATACTAAAGGTATATTAAATTGTATATCACAGGTATTGTAAAGATGTATTAGATAGTTGTATCGCAGGGATATTAAAGGTATCCTAAAGTTATATCACAGGTGGACCATGGGGAAAGATAAGGTAAAACCTTCATTGGGGATCATTGGGGTAGATATCATGGGGGGGGTGAGCTATATATATACACACACACGTACACACTTGCGCTGGTTGTCTCTATCTCTGCACAGTTGCAAAAGGCAAAAGTCTCATGCGATCCTGCCCTTTGCTTCTGGTATGGCTTCAGACCCAATGCCTTGGCAAGTAGAATTTGGATCTTTTCAGAAAGATGGATCGATGTGAGGGCGCTGGCTTTTAACGTTGCGAGCACAAAATTGTTGATAGGTTAGTTAAAGACGCAGTAACTACCCGTATCAATTGTATGGGCTGTATGGACTGCTGTGCTTGCTCGAGAAGCAACGCATTTGCCAAGCATCGTCAAACAAATCGACTGTATGGAAACACAGGGAGGACAAGTAACGCATCAATAGGGTGGCTCGCAAACAATTTTTGTATCAAGCAGAGACTTAGGGGCGTTTTTCTTGTTATAAAAACTAACAGACAGAATGCAGCCTAAACATGTTGAATAACGACAAAGATCCCTTTGCAGTTGTTTGAACCTTTCACAGAGAGTCCTTTGAACAGGGAAATTCATTCAATCTGAATATTTGGCAAGGCAGCTGTCCATGGCAAATGTTGGCGCAGCGAGACATTGGCCGAATCAGAGGTCACAGGCCTATAGGCAATTTGAAACATTGAGGAATAGATTCCCGTGTGAACATATTGAGGAATACGCTCCCTTGTTGAGAGTTTGAGAGTGTTTGTCGCAAGTCCGCAGAAAATATGTGACATATTCTGATATTGTTCAGGCTGTGCTGGAGATCAGACCCTCTGGAGCTTCAAGCACAAGCGGAGTCAGAAACATTCAAAACCCATGACATCCCATGACATATGTCAACTATGAGGTAAGCAAATCATCTCCCCATCCCCTCCTGCCAAGCCGCTTAGCCGCTTAGCCCTTAAACAAGCGAATGTTTTAACATGGAGACATCACACAGCGGACTCCTAAACGCGGCCAACTCTTCAGGTCCACAGTAAACCAGTAAACCCACCATGCCAAAACAGCCCAAAACATGTCAGACCTTTATGAAAATTTATGTGGCCCCATGCAGCTACGATTGCCACAATCGAATTTCAGCGGATTGATTTTTTTTGTTGGCACAAGTGCTTTGGGGACCTTTAGGGTTGGGATGGGTTGGGGACCCTCATGCTTGATTATTCGCTGAGGCAGGTACAGTACAGGAAACAGGAAAACTGTTTTGGAACAGCAGCTGTGGTTGGAGACCTGAGTTTTGGTAAAGGTATTACAGTCACGGTGCCTTCCCTCACATTCACCATTCACCCATTCTCTCCAGCCTCAGATTCCTTTAGTTTCCAACGAATGCCATGTCCAAACACCACTATGTCAGTGTGTCCCTTTGATATCCCTTGATGTTGCTTATTCCTACATGATTCGTCCTCATGATTCGTCCTTGAGAACTTTCTAGCCCCTATAGGCCCCCGAATGCTGCACCCTCTGTCTCCGTCTACTGAATCCCCTTTTGTATTTTTGTTTCGCAGCATCGTCAAAGGTCTAATTAATCCGTCGAATGTATTCCAAAGTACTGTGTTGAATCAGACTCTAGCAAAGATTGAACAATGTGACTTTGAGCCTCGTGCGAGACACAAAGGGCATAGACTAGGGAGACTAAACTTGGGTGTTTCAGATTTGATGCTAGGTCTTACAGTAATCTTTTGTACTGTATCCATTGTGCTTTCCAAATGGAACGCGTCTTTTTTCTAAGGCAGCGCAACCAATCCAACACATCAGGCCAGTGGCTGTCATTGAAATCATTGTATTCAGTACTGATGCTGCAAGCAATGCCTTCCATTCAATTGCAGGGTGGCATAACGAGCGGCATCTTCGGGGCAAGCCGTGCAAGAAGTTAATACCAAATTTGAATCGACACTGCGGTCCGTTTTCGCACTTACAGACTTGCGCATGACAGGTACAGAGGAGAAGATTCAAGCACCCAGAGCACAGTCCTTTGTTCTGTTGTGGTGCATGAATGTCAGACTTACGCAGGGGCAAATTTTGTAGAGGACTGTCCATTTTACATCCCTGGAAGACTAAGGATTTTAACTTCGAAGATTCGATTCAAAGAAAGGACCTACTTGTTTGGGCTGGCTAAAACGGAGACATGAGCCGGTTAAGAAAATGGTGGACCCAACATGCGCCGCAACGTTTTACCCGCCTTTTTGGGACACCCGAATAACACACTCGAACAGAATGCGCGACGATGTTGTGGCAAATCCGCCTTGCTATAATAATAATAATATTTAATAATAATAATACTGATTATATATATATGATAGTAATACTAATAAGTGATGTCGTTTTGGTTTTCTGCAACAGATATGGAGTCTGACAGCAGCGGAGTATCAGAGTCAGACAGAGTGAAAGGACACTCTGACAGCGTTTGGCTACAAAGGCAGCTTCACAAGGCACGGCATCCATTGCCTGTATCACCTGTATTCGTTCAATTTCATTAAAGCAATTTAAACGAGGTTAAAACGTTTCATCAGATTATGTCAAGTTGTTTTGGCTGTGCCATGCCTTCTCAGTGGTGGATGCGGTGGGCATTTTGCTAACAATACGGTCTAGTCCAATTCAATTCTTCTTTTGCTGGGATATTTTCTGGATGAGTGTGAGCCTTTGGAATTCTACCCAACCGGCAAGAAAGAATGATTTGAATATCTGACGTTAGTTTTCGATGGTCGGATTGTAGAGTGGTACTGTACATGGTTGGATTTTGCTACCCACTGTGCCACTGCCCTGGTCAACTACGATCTTATTGTTCATGCGCAGCTTGTGCGAAAGTGTGGGGAAGCAATTTTATGGTTTCCATGTTTTTGGATTGCCCCAGCAAGCAAAACTGGGGAAAGGGGATAGAGATGATAGAGTGGGTTTGTGTAGCACGCCATGTTGGGCTGATGTTGACTTTGTGGTGTGGGTTTGCTTTTTGTGGGTTTGCTTTTTGTGAAGGTTATCTGCGTCATGTTCCGCCCTCTCAGTGCTTATCTCTAGATTCTGCTGACTGTCCCAAGCATCTTTTGGGCAATTTGCGTTATGCTTCTCGTGGAAAACTGGAAGAGCCATTGTTGTATTATAGCCTTCAATCAACTTATTTCCTCCACTTGTATTGACGCATGGCATTGTGCTTTTTAAATTGTGCTTTCAGCGCCTGCCTTTGGTTTTGATTGATTTGCAAATGTGCAAAAAAGAGTTGTCTTTTTGCCTACAAAAGTATATTAAATATGGCAAGTTGTTATGGCAAGTATGACCGGAACGCAATGAGCAATGAAAAGCAAGTCCACACATGCCAAAGCAATCTGGAATTGATTCCTCTCCATACTGGTGCAGATGTGTCCACGCCCTTGATGCTTCACATGAATGTTCTTTACTAAGGGTGGGGCAGTAAATCATTCATAAGACCCCACTGATCAATGGGGCACGCAGGTTATTTTGATTGCAACTACATGCAATTACTGTATCCCAGATAATGACCATTATCACAGATGATGATTGCAAAGGATGATAAAGCATTAGTGATGCAGACTTGTCAGACATTGTCGTTGGACAAGGCCTCCTTGTACACCCGTCGTGCCTGATTCTTGGAAATTGTGACGTGGCCACTTTGAGGATCCACGAGACAGTGGCTTTGAAAGGGTGCAACGCAGTCTGCCAGAGCATGCCAGAGCACTCTGAGGCGATGGTTTGTGGTGAGTGAACCTCAAGCAGCAACTGCCAAGGAGACAAACAAATCAAAAAAGACTGTCCAAGTGTTTGTACATAGGAAACTAGACGAAGTTTCAAAGAAACTTGGCAGAGGAGCGGAGCTAGTTACACAGTGACAAGATGTCGTCATAAAGTAAGCGGTACTCGCATGCCTCTGGCCATGACCAAGTCTGTCGCGGTTGAAGCAAATTTGAAGCCGTAGCTGCCAGCGAGACAACTCAGACATTGTTGACAGTGTTAGATCCCTTTTGCAGGACCTACTGTCTTTGGCATCAAATTTGCAGCGACCTTATTGCCACATCAAGCTTGGCTGGACTGGACTTTCCTGTTTACCCGTGTTTCCAGAATGAGTGAGAATGAAATTACATTTACAGCACTAAATTTGGAGCATAGGAACAACGCTGGATTCTTGCAGGCTACAGTCAGATCATTCAACGCAGTGCCAGCAAGCGGAAGGCAAGATTTCGGTGGAACTCCAGGTATTTTTGCCTGTGGCAGAAGACACAAGAAGAACGGCTCTCTCTTAGGTTTTTATAGGTTTTTACTTGCCCCTGGAATATCAGGCTGTTTGCCAGCCTCAGCAACTGACAGATATTACATTACTATGATCGTTCTTGAGTTCGAGATCATTACTGATACCGGGGATACCACCAAGCATTGTAATTGGCACATGCTGACATCATAGTAAACATTGGTAAAACAGTGGCATCTTCCGGCAATTTTCTTGATTGTGTGATATCCAGCCACTAATTCAGTTTGCCACACAATGCTGGTTGTAGATTGGTATTGCATGCCTTAGCACTTTAACTATCTTTAACTTTCGTTTGCTGTCAGGATTGGAAGTTTGTGGGATGGGCATTCAGCCTTCTGATGGTGTATGGTGGAGAGGGCCCATCAAGGAGACTCCCCAGGTGCGGAGGTTTGTGAGATGACACCCTCTGTATCCCTTTGAGCGCATTATGTCATTATCTGAGCAGATCCACAAATGTTTGTTTTAATGTTTTATTATGTTTTATTTATGCAGCAAGTGCTGTTCTCTTTCAGCTTGTGCTCGTGGAAAGAGGTAGTGTAGGGCCAGAGACGTTTTTTTGCAATCCCCATGCATTTAAAATACTGTAGGTGTGTCAAAATGTGTATATATATATATATATATGTGTATATATGTATACATACATATATGTTGGCGCCAAACCCCACGTTCGCCCACACCCAAATAACACACCCAAACAATATCATATACGTGTCATCAGAGCATGAATTTAGCGTCTAATGTAGGGTTTAGGTTTTTAGGCTTTTAGGGTTTTTGGGTTTTCGGTTTTGGAAAGTAAAAAAAAAGCTAGCCCTACGAAGGGATTTGAGCATGTCAAAGGATATGCGGGATCCGATGCGGGCAAACGTGGGGTTTGCAGCGTACATATTATATTACACATTATTGTATAATATATATTAATATAATATACGTATTAATACTATATTATGTGTATATAGATATGTGTGTATATATATATAGAGATAGATATGGGAGTTGATCTAAAGGTCATATGAGGATGGCCATCGTTGTTTCAAAATCATCCCTGCTTGTGGGGAACTTTGCAATGGTAAATGTCTGGAACTGCACCTCTAAGCCCCATGCAGGGCTGGAACACTTTTGAAAAAATTGACGCCATTTTTTTCGCGAAAGTTTTGCTAAAGTGTCGCGAAAGCAGTCGCAAAAGTTCCGGTGTCTCAGAAACCCAGACCACAGCACAGGGAAATAAGGCCATTGAACCTCTCTTTGTGCGACTGTGGAGTTGAGTTGATAACGCGCTAGCTGATTTCACAGATATCATGCACACCAAAAGGGTCTAATAAAGATAAATGTTGCCATTTCCATGCAGATTGAATACTTTCCAGCGGAGAGGATTAAGGCATCCCCAAGTTCGCAGACGTTTGGCAAAAGTATATTTTTGGCTAAGAATGGCGGTTTCCGGACAAGAGAATTTATATCAAAACGTATATATATACACATTATGTTGTTTGAATCTGTTTGACAGTAGAAATTGCATGTTGGAGAAAACCAAACGACATTGACCCTTCTTGCCTACATGTGAAGCTTGCCAGTCCAACCCGGTCTTTCCCAGCAAGCCAATGAGCACAACTTCACTTGGTCTCAATCTCATGTTGCCTGATGTGCTCTGGGACTCTTGGACTCTGGGAGTGGACCTCCCTCAAACACAAGGCTTTGGGTCATTCCACAAGCCCAAAGAGACCCACCTCAGTTCGGAGCTGGTTGGAGACATACAGTGCACAGCAATGTCACAGAAACACTGAAGACAGCTGGAGCAGTTTGGAATAGAATGGAATAGAAGGGAATAAAATGGAATAGAATGAAATGGAATAGAATGGAATAGAGAGAGGGACTGCAACTGACCTATATTTGAGGCTACAGTCCGTAATGCGCCGTAATGGCTTAGGTGATTGCAGCAGTGATTGCACATACTTCTTGGTTCGCACTTCCAGTTGAAAGTGTATCGCAGGTTTCGCAGCTGCCTTGGCCTTACATTCAAGCCTGCTGCGCCGTTCTTTTGCTTTGCCCGAAGCTCAGCCGGAAATGCTGGAGACTTTCATGACTTTCATGCAACTGGAAAGTTTTTGCAAGGACCATGTGAGATTCATTTGGTGAGACGCGATGCAGCTTTTGAGGTTCAGTCGCCATGTTGGGAACGACATGCTCTATGTGGTCACATCAATGCTGTGATCAGTGAGTTGAAAAGACTCACCCGAAGCCGATGACAAGCTTTGCGGCCGTTGTACTGCGAAGCTTCAAAAGTCTCAGAGATTGCTCAGAGCCTTTCTGCTCATGAATGTGCCTGCAATCGGATGCAACACTGTGCAAGACTCACTGACTTTGGCAACAAATTGATCATGTGCCACCGGGCAATTCATTCAATATCAAAGGAACTGAAATGCACTGCAGCAATTCACGCTTTGTCCAGGCTGTGGCTTGATTAGCAGAAAAGGCAGGAGCTAATACCTCAGTTTGAAAAGAAAGACACGGACCTTGGTTTGTCCAAAAGATGCAGTGTAACTACAAACGCGCGTCAAAAGCAGAGGCTGATGAGTGTGAAGCTAACCCCTTCCACCGCTGCGACAAAAATACCGATTGAATGTGATGGTCAGAAAGCTAAAGAGGTTGAAGCGTGGAAACGCTAGGTCTTCCCCCGACTAAGACTTTGAACGTTAAAAGCGTCCGTTCCCACTTTAACTTTTGACATGTCGTTTTCATTCTCACTTCAACTTCCTCTCGGAGCCTGGAATGGGTCTGTCCAACAGACAAGAAACACCAGCACTCCGCCGCATGATCCTGCATGTCATGCTGAAGCACTACGCGTTCAGTGTAGAAAAGAATAAGAGCAACTTTTTAGTCTATTCGCTTCAGCCTACTTCGGACAGGTCTAGATGTTGCAAACATAGACTTGACATGCATGAAAGATTTCTCCAACTGTGAACGGTGTCATGTAGGTTTTAGGTGACGACTCAAAACAGGAAATCAAGCACATGATTATCAAGAATGGCAGATGAGAGGACTGCAAGCAACGGATATGGACTTGGTAGACTTTGTGATTCTTTGGCCTTTACCACTAGAGCTAGATGACCAGCACCTTCAACACAATGAGCTGGGAGGAGCCGCAACTCAGTTGAATACAATAGATTCAATAGATATGGTTTCCGCCCACCACATTCAGTATCGGCTTGCCAGAAGATGCCACGCGTTGATCATCACTTCAGTCAGAATCTGTCCAGGCTTTGACAAGCTCTGCTGACTCAGCTTTGTGTTCAAAAATCTGCCATGTGCGTTTTTCTCCATGTACTGCCGAATGAGAACATGTTATTAGAACTAGGGGTTACAGTGACATGAGATTTGGATAGATTTGGTGATATAGATCGTAAGGATCACTGCAAGCGGATGCCATGCCATGCCTTTCTTTATGTAAAGAGATAGATGACCCTCCTCTGTACTACCAGTTTTTTTTCCTGGGGGTTCAGTACGCTTTTTAAAAAGCACTATTTTCCAAAAATCTAGCAGACAGTGGGTGAGGGTCCCGGGGCATGATATGGGGCCAGGAAAAAAATATCATACCAAAAAAGGCCCAGAATTTTTTTCCTGAAAGCTTCCTGACGTACAGTGACAGGAAATCAATTTCTGTCTGTTGTGATTGAGGGGGGGTTGATCTACTAGTCTGTGTATGTAAGGCATCAGGAAATCAATCATGAATGACTCTGATAACGGGTAAGTTTGTAGAATTCCTAAGGTTAGTAGCCAGGAATTTGAAGGTGGATGGATCAAATGGGAGTTTACTAGAACATATCTAAATGTCAAACCCCAGGAAAAAATGTACCATGATTAATTGAGTGGGTATGATTTTTTAAATGACTTTGCAAAAGGGGTACAACCACATATGTTCACCTTCACCAACCAAAAAAGTGACTTCAAGAGGCAAAGGCGCAGGGGTCAAAAATCAAATCCAAGGGGCTGGACCTTTTTTGACTGAATACTTGCGGATGATTTCACAGGTTGGCCCACAGGAAAAAAGTCGCGTCACCAGGCCAATCATCCACTGATAGGACATGATGGGCCGAATTCAAAAATTTTGTGTCAACGCACGCCCAAATTGCAAAACACATGTTTTTTTTGCTGAAAATACAGTTGTCCTTGCAAAAGGGTACAGACACACATGTTCAGCTTCACCAACCAAAATCAAAAAAGTGACTTGAAGAGGCCGAGGCGCAGGTGTCAAAAATAAAATCCAAGGGGCTGGACCTTTTTTTGGCCGAATTCTCGCGGATGATCTTCAAAGGCTGGCCCCACAGGGAAAAAATCGCATCACCAGGTCAACCATCCATAGATAGGAAATGCTGGGACAAATTGAAGAATTTTGTTCCAACGTGTGGCCAAATTGCAAAACAGGCGTTTTTTCCTGAAGATACATTTGTCCATGCAAAAGGGTTGCGCATTTTCCTGAATTCCTGTCCGTGGTTACCAAATTAACATAGTGACATAGATAATCTTGAACCATCTTGAGCCACGATGATGGATAATGCAGGTTATGATGTAGAATGTTTTTGGAGGCATGCAATGGCAATAATTTTAAGAAATCATGGGGCCCACCACGAATTTGCGACATGGCTGACTTGCTGGTGAATGCAGGGTTGCGCATTGCTGGTGAATGCATTTGTGAAGCCGTGGCATCCGAAAAAATGCGAGCTGACTCCCAGGGAAGTCAGGTAACAGGAATTCATTTTTTTCCGTATCAGATTGGGGGGGGAAGATATGGCATGTTACCAACGCAAGCATCCAGGAAATAATTTTTTTACTTGGATACCAGAGGGGTAAATTTATTGGATGTTGGACGTTGGGCACCAGGAAATTGGCAAAGAAAATTCAAAAAGGTGGTTGGAAGTGAGATTTCGGCTTCAGAGGTTAGGAGCCAGGAATTTAAAGCTCTAAAACCTCTCTCAAAGGTTAGGGGTCATCATTTTAGACCGATTTTTTTCTAGGACTGTACCCCACGTTGGAGTACAGACGGGGATATAGATGTCTCGGTGGGGAGAGATTAAAGCTGCAGTTGCAGATCTTCTTGGGGAGTGTGAAGTCTTCGAACACTTGATTGCAGTTTGGTGTACCAACGCTGCACTTTTACATTGCAAAGTTCAAGCATAGTGTGAATATGTGTGAATCAAGTAATTGAGGCTTGTATTTGTACTGAATCGGTTTGGAGACCTGGTGTGCTGGTTTTTCCATACAGTATTGCCTTGAATCTTGACGTATGACCAGGTTTGCATGGAGCACATGACATTGCGATACCGAGCAGCACCGAGGCAGAAGAAACCCCTGCTTTGCAGTCAATCTGCCCAAGCACCTCAAGAGCCTGAGAGCAAGTGACATTGTGAGCATTTGCGAGCATCACTTGTCAAAGGCAAAGTGATGCTCCAGTTTCTGAAGCTCTCTAAGAGCTACATATTATTTTTCTTGAAGGGTTGTGGGAGCGAAATAAAACCGCAGTGGGCAGCGGCAGCACAACTGTCTTGTACATGGAACCATGCATAACATGCACAGTATATGCATGTGTCAATTGTATGCATGCATTGCAGCGTTTTGCGTCACCAATGCTGAGACATGCTGAGGGTGCATGAAAGTTGCATGGACTTTGCTGCGGGATGTGGCACAAGGTTCAAAACAAGTTTTAGGTCAGGAGCTGTCCAGTGAGGATAGGCCCGAACCCAGCCAAAGATCAGATTGTGCCTGGGCACAATTGGAACATGTTGCACCCTTGGAATTTGTGTGCAAGAAAGGATGAGTTTTGAGCCGTACGCACAGCTCCGGTTTGGTTTGTAGCTGACTCATGCGTGTTTTTGACTTCACAAGCAGTGAAGCTTGTCTTGTCAGATGGGAGAACCCTCAGTAGTATGGATTGTTCAAGGTCAGACAAACACATTGTGCTTCACCAAAATCCACAAAACCTTAAACCTTTCTAGTGCTTCCGCTCGCTAAGACCGCCACCATGGGCGAGCCCGCCAACGCATACAATGGGCAGATCAAGGCGCCATCACGCCATGTTCAACACGTTCAACAAACTGATAGCAATTCTGCATAGTTCAACAACCCCCTGGAAATGATCGCTTCGTCGCTGATTCGTCGATAGCTCACAGCCTTGTGACCGAATTTGTATCACAGCATGCCAAAGTTTTGGAAATGTTTCAAGATGTTTCAAGCAGGCATGAAAAGGCTTGATGGTAGGCAGGAAGAGAAATGAAGAAGAAGAAGAAGAAGACGACGACGACGACGACGAAAACAAAAGAAGAAGATATGCCACCGCGTTAGGGTTTGGGAGGAAGACTCCCAAATCAATTACTGCAAACATAGTTGTGTTTTCAGTTTCAATTGTAGCTTTATTTTAAGTCTTTATACAATGATTGGATGTGATGGGATGTGATGCGCATGAGGAAACATCACAATCTGTTTGAAACCCTCGCAATTCGATTTATATATACGTATATAAATAAATATATATATATATATCGATTTGTTGGATGGGTTTCAGCTGGTTCCCGCATTCCCGCATCCAATCCTTTCTTTTGCTCGGAGACAGTGTCCGAATATGGTATGGATTTGAGACAACCGCGCAGGATGGCCTTTTCCACGGAAAGGGAAAATTGATCTATGCTGGAAACGAATGTTATGATGGCGAGCAGAGAACCTAGAATTCTAAATTGTTCAGGAAGTGGTTGCATTCGGCTTTTGCTGTCTCGTCTTGGTTTGCTGAATGCTTAGGTGGGTCTATGGCAAAAGAGAAGGTCATGGAATGTCTGCCTGACTGACTTGCAAGATTTATTTGAACCCCCATTTTGTTGCACATGGACTTGAAAGGAGTCTAGAAACAGGAGAGACTATATCAAGAACAAACTTGTACTGGTAGTTGCAGATTCGTATGAATCACGGTCCCTGCGGGAACAGTACATTGCCACGCTATCATGTCACTCCCTTCAATATGTGTAAATGCATTTGAAGGTTTACCTACTCAGATGGTGCAATCTTTGACGGTCAGTGGCAAGAGGACCTGTGAAGTGGAACGTTGCATCGTCTCATGAGTACTCACATACTCTCACATCGTTTTTTAAGCAAGCAAGCTTTTCCAATTGAGTGGTTCTCCAGGACAGGATACACGGCCAGGGCGTGGCAGTCTTTGCTTCTGGAAACCGTTACGAAGGAAGCTGGGAGAACGGCCGGATTCACGGGCATGGTGTGCTACCTCAGAGCTTTGCG